AGCAGTTAGCATAAGGGCTATGTCACTGAACTCCCATGGAGTCGACCGCAGTTCAAGTCCTGGACCCGGTGGCTTAAACTCATGCTGGGTGCATGTGCTTATGTGCCCAAGATCCCAAGAGGAGAATGGAGGAGAAGGGATTGCGGTGTGGCCATCCCCCCGGGGGGGTGATTTCTCGCTTTCTATCTCTCTGTCTCTCTCTTTCGCCCAATAGCGAAAACCTCTCCCCCCCTCAGAAAAAAAAAGAACCCTGGACTCCCACATGGCCGATCATGGTTTGAGTCCCAGACTTGGTGACTTGCTTTCTCACTTTCTCTCTCCCTCTCTGGTCAAATTTAATTAATTAATCAAATAAATAAGTAAATAAAGTTCAATAAAATAAATCTTAAAAAATGACAATCCAGCATCCAGGACCATGAGGAATTGATTTCTATTGTTCACAAGCCACACAGCAGATGATATATTTATTTTTTTTAGAGGTTTTTGCTATAGGGCATGTGCGCTCGCCAGACAGACAGAGAGAGACAGAGAGACAGAAAGCAAGAAATCACCCCCCAGGGGGGATGGCCACGCCACAATCCTTTCTTCTCCATTCTCCTCTCGGGATCTTGGGCATGCACGCACACACGCCTGGCGTGAGTTTTAAGCCACCAGGTCCGGGACACGAACCGTGGTCGACTATGTGGGAGTCCAGCGACATAGCCATTATGCTAACTGCTGGTCCCAACACACCGGACGATATTTTGTTAGAGTGGCCAGAACAGACTACAATAGGGTACAAAGCCAAACCCATGTCAAATAGGTTCCATGCCATTTTGTTCTAAATTCTTAGACTTCTAATTTTTAAATTGTCAAAGGGCACATGCACTAGCCAGAAAGGGAGAGAAAACACTCCTTGGCTGTGTGTCATCATGCCACAATCCCTTTCCTTCCATTTCTCCATCCCATCAGGGTTCTGGGCATGCACATGTCTAGCCTAATTTTGAAGTTACCAAGGCCAAGGTTTGAACCTCAGCTGGCCATGTGGGAGCCAACTCCCTGGGTACAGAACTTAACCACTATACTATTGGGACTGGCCCCTACATTCTTAAAAGGTTAAAGAATTTAAGGTATGTTGCAATTCTTTTTTTTTTTTTGGAGAGGTTTCTGCTATAGGGCGCATGCGCTCGCCAGACAGACAGAGAGAGACATAGAGACAGAAAGTGAGAAATCACACCCCAGGGGGGATGGTCACGCCGCAATCCCTTCTCCTCCACTCTCCTCTCGGGATCTTGGGCATGCACGCACACACGCCTGGTGTGAGTTTTAAGCCACTGGGTCCGGGACGCGAACCGCGGTCGACTACATGGGAGTCCAGCGACATAGCCATTACACTAACTGCTGGTTCCCTGCAATTCTTGATTTAAATAAATTTTCTTTAAAATCATCACTTGTCTTACTTTATAACATGAAACATGAAAACTTGAGATGCTTGCATATTCTCTAGTAAATAAACTATACTATTGTTTTCTTTATGCCGTACAAAAATATGTATACACCTGCACAGGAGGCAGTGTGATACAAAAGAGTGAGCTAGGCAAACTTAAGATTTGAAAACTTTCTCTGCCTCCAGATCCAGTGATCTGCCATAAGATACCAGTCTCAATGTTCTCATCTATAAAACAGGAGGAATAATGCCTCCCCTGCAGAGCTGTGCTGACCTCGTTTCAAACGAAGCATTCACTCTGAGCATGGGAGACAGGAAGAACCACAGGTGATCAGGTTCCCCAACCTGGAGTGCTTCATATTCCTTGACAGAACTACTAAATATGAGTTCAAAACTGCTTTCTCTAAACCTTTGCTCACACAGTTGATATGTTACTATTTTAACGCTCTTCTTGAAATCTCAACCATTATGCATGCAAAACAGGGATTCCCAAATAGACAAAACCTGTACAAGAAAGAACATCTCAAGACTGTTAATAGTAAATTGCTAATGCTTAGCTTGGGATATGCTGAAACCCCCATTTTTTTGGTTTGTTTTTTGTTTTACCTAGTTTTGATTATCTTGACATACGGTTTATTCTTTTTCCTTCAATCTAACTGCACATCTTTTTGAGAGTCTTAATTTATAGGTTTATGTCATCTTTTTTGTGTTTTTGAATCCAAATGTTCACTGATTTAACTAATTATTCATTCAGGAAAACATTTAAAGACCACTATTGTGTACAAGGCACTGAGCTAGTTTCTGGGGAAGCAAATTAAGATCCTTGCCTTTAAGGAGTCAGAAATCTAAAGATAAAGGTAATAATAAACCATTTCAATGTAGTGTTCTTTATGTTTGCACGTGGTATAAACTGGAGTTTCAGAAGCTCTGTGGTGGGGCTGGAGTTATGAGGAACAGCTTTTTAGAGGTGATGTTAAGTAGAATCATTAATGCTCAGTAGGGGGGCTGGCAGGTGGCTGGTAGGGCACTGGATTCCCACGTGGCTGACCACCGTTTGAGTCCTGGACCTGACAGCTCACTCTCTCTCTCCTGGACCTGGCAGCTCTCTCTCTGTCTTTCTCTAGTCAAATTTTAAAATAAATAACCAATTAATTAAATTTAATAATTCTTTGAAAAAATAAAAAAAGCTTAGTAGGAGCTCAGCAAGTGTTAGAGGGAAGTTCTTCCAGGCACACTGGGGAATCTGCAAAAACAAAAGGTGCTTGGGGAAGGCAGCAGGAACCAAGACTAGAGAATTGCACTTAGCATAGCGCTCTGGATAAGCTACTTAGTGACAGGTACAAAAGACCTTTAGTTTGTTCATCAACTTTTGATAAAGATGACTTGACCTGAAACCAAATTTTAAAGAACTTTTTAGGTTGTTATGGTTGTTAATAATTATTTTAATACTGAGTTTCCAAACAATGTGTATTTCCTACATAGGTTGAGCATGCCTAATCTGAAAGTCCAAAATTCAAAATCTCAAAATTTCAAAATCTGAAACTTCTTGAACATTGACATCTGCCTCAAGTGGAAAATGCTACACCTGAATTCACATGATGGGTACTAGTCACAAGCCTACAATACTAAATTATTGTATATGGTACAAAAATATTTTTTTTTTGAGAGATTTTTTTTGCTATAGGGCATGTGCGCGCACCAGACAGAAAGAGAGAGACATAGAGACAGAAAGAGAGAAATCACCCCCCAGGGGGGATGGTCATGCCGCAATCCCTTCTCCTCCATTCTCCTCTTGGGATCTTGGGCATGCATGCATACGCGCCCGGCTTGAGTTTTAAGCCACCAGGTCCGGGACGCGAACAGCGGTCGACTACGTGGGAGTCCAGCGACACAGCCATTACACTAACTGCTGGTTCCCGGTACAAAAATATTGTATAAAATTACCTTCGGGCTATGTGTCAGATGTTTATGAAACATAAGTGAATTTCCATGTTTAGACTTAGTCCCATCCCCAAGATATCCCATCATGTATGTATGTATGTATGTATGTATGTGTGTGTGTATGTATGTATACACACACACACATTCTAAAATCTGAAAAAATTAAAAATCTGAAACACTTCTGATCCTAAGCATTTTGGATAAGATACTCAACTTGTATAATGAGCTACAAGAATGTGTTCTGTGAATAAAAGGTCATACCTACTTTTTCCTATTAATCATTCAACCACAATAAAGCAAAGACCAGGCATGTTCCACACCATGACCACAAGACCATCGTCCTTTGACTATCCTGGAGTGAATGAAAAGTGCGATGCCACTCTGCAATCACTTACAGGTAAATGGTAAGAAAATCAATCAGTCTTTAGCCTATTAGATGAGGGCACTAATACATTAAAATTGATTTTGGGGGAACTGAAAAGCAGTACAAAAAAGAAGAAGAAGAAGAAGAAACAGACTGCTCCCAGTAAGTCCTATGTGCTGAGATACAGGACAGAGGACTGGCTCACTCCCCTTAGAACTGTTATCCCTTAAGCACCAATTCCTCTAGTCACCTTTAGAAACAGCATTTCCTGGGATCAGCAGATGGTATAATGGTTACATTGCTGGACTCCCATGTAGTTGATCTCGGTTTGAGCCCTGGACCCAGCAGTGGCTTAAAACTCAACACTGGGCATGTGGGTAAGCATGCCAAAAATCCCAAGAGAAGGATGAAGGAGAAGAGATTGTGGCATGGCTATTTGCTCCATGGGGTAATTTCTCGCTTTCTGTCTCTCTGTCTCTCCACCAAGTGTATGTGCCCTGCAGCAAAAATCTCTCTTTAAAAAAAGAAAAAGCACTTCCTTTGATATTTCCCAGGCCAATATCATACTGTTTAGCAGGTGAACGACAACAATAAAAAGGTGGGGGCACATGTAGCACACTAGTTTTCAGTATTAGTACACAACTGGAAAAAAATATGTCATGACAGTTTTACACTAATGTTTCTAAACATTAAAAAAAATTAAAGAACAATGGGTACAGTAGACTGAGTCTTAGGGAAAATAAAAAATGAAAAGATGTGAATTCAAGGGTTAGAGAGAAATGCTTTTCCTAAAAGATGAGCCCTGATTATGTCTGTCCCTATATTAAAATTAATATAATGATGAACCTGATTAAGAACATATATTGATTTTTCAAAAGAATTATTTATTTACATATTATTATTATTATTATTTTTAAATTTTGCTATAAGGCACATGCATGCATCAGAGAGAGACAGAAACAGAGAAAGAGCCAGAGACAGAGAAAAAGAAAAAGAGAGAGAGAGAGAGAAAGTGAGAAAGCAAGCTGCCAGGTCTAAGACTTGAACCATGGTCGGCCATGTGGGAGTCCAGAGACTTAACCACGATGCCACCTGCTGACCCCCAATATACATTAATGTAAAAAATAAGAATATGACTGAAATATACATACTTGATCAATGTATAATATACACACCATAAAATAAAACATATTTCAATTATCTTAGGAAAAAGAAACAACAAAATTAGCTCTGAAAGTGAATGTTAGATTTATTTTTAAAATATTTTACCTGATTTAAATAATTTAGGCACTTTTCAAGACACCAAAGGCAACAAATGCAAGATTTCAGCATACATCGTGCACAAGCATTTTCCTGGGCAAGGGAAAAGTAAAATAATTTTAAAACTGAAGAATCAAAACATCATGTAGACGACTTCAAAAATAAGAAAAATAAATACAAAATTTAAAATGTCAGCCTATACTTCAAAGCCTCCATGTCCACCCTTTTCCTCCTTCAAATGCACTGGCTGAACTACTTTTAATCAGTTCAATTCAACACTTACTTAGTACTTCCTGCATATAAAATATAGTGAGGTGTATAAGAACAGCAAATAACTTACAATGTAGTAGGAAAAAAAAAAAAGATTAAACATAAAAAATGTTAGAATCCACAAACGGTGTAGATACTAAATGTTATGGGAGTAGAGAAGAGAGAAAGACAAGTGTTTGGGAGACTGGAGGTTTCTAGGGAGCGATGCACTGGAGCTAATTTATGGTGAAATGCATGCTATTCTTCCAGTCAAACGAGGAATGAGGTTCTAAGGAGGAAGGTGTGCCAGTCAACACCGAGGAAGACAAGCATGGGACTTTGGGTAACCAGTGATGAGATGAATTTTGCCAGAGCATATGTGGTGCAGAAGTGGAAGAGAAAGTGGAAGGACTGGATTCCACCTTGTGAGGACTGAGGAAAACATTCACAGCTTTGCATTTATGTTGGGTTCTTTACTATATGTAGAGCTGAGGTCTGGAATATGCCCATAGAAAGTCCAGAAAAGCATTTTCCTCTTACCTTTCCTTTGAGCTGACTGTGAATATACATAAGGATCATTCGTGGAATTTTGACTAATGTGATAATGAAAGATCCTTTTGCCACAGTACCAAGGTGGTATCGAATAAGGCGGTTCACTGATGCCAAAATAGGTGTAAATGGCAAATTCCTTTTATCCCTATTTTTAAAATGAGCAATAAACAATTCAAGTTTAGATAAGGATAGAAACACAAGTAGAGTCTAGAATCCAATGCAGTAAAAACTCAGTTCATTATTCTTACTCTAGCTTGAAGACAAAAAAGCAACATGATATATAAGTAATATAAATGCCTCAGATGTCCTGTATAACATTGTTTCTCTATGGTAGTTTCATGGAGATCTGAAGTTCTAATACTTAGTTAAATAAAACTGTGCTTTAAAGGCTCTAATTATTAGTGAATACTAATGGAGGTAACCATCCAATTAGAAAACAGAATTTAAGAAGATCTTGCTCTGACAGTTCAATAGAAAATTGCCAGGTCTACAGCTTTAATACTCAGCTCTGAAGTTAGCAAAGGGGCCTCATTACACTTGTTCGGATCCAAACAAAACAAAAATCTTGTTGTCTTTTGATGGACTCTCCTATAAAGTAAAGGTACATATAGCACACTACTGTAAGATTTATTTTTCTGCTAAATATGATATAAGTTATTTCATGCCTGTTCTGATAAATTTTTGAGACAATTACACAAAAGTGTGAAGAATAAAATCACCTCCCACTTTGTCACCTCTCAGAATTAAACTGTAACAGCTGTCATATTCATTTCTAATTTTTAAAATAGAATTCTTACTAGCTTCTATCTCATTTCCTTCCTCTCCACATCACTGCAGACATAATCACTTAGATGAACTTGAATTTTCTGACAAGTATGAATTCTCACCTAGTAAAATAGTATGTTACCACAGCTCCTGCCACAGTCATCTGTTGACATGCTAGAATAAATTCACTGATCCAAATCAGGCCCACAACATGGTACCACCACATGTACTGCAGAGGCCCAGAGATTTTGAACTCCACAAAGCCTTGGTCATTCTGAACAGCACTGCCTAGGAAAATATCAAGGAAGGAAAGAAGCAACACATAAAGTACAAATCAAGATATAAAGCTATTAAACATAACAGGCTAGTCTCATTTCCAACAATAGACCCCTACCCCAAAGCAACATACTTGCTGATCTTAGAGCTTTTTCATTAAGGAATGAAAATAATGATCTCTTGAAAAGTGGGCAATTAAACACTATATAATTATGCATTTTGATTTCTTCAAAGGCACCACAGAAGCTTCTGAAAGTAGTTCTATTTGAATAAAGCCATTATGATGTTACCAGTTATTTAGATTAGGTATAAATTTTCAAATACTTCGATTTTTTTCAGGCCTATTACTTATCCAATAATTATAGATTTAAATTATTAACGAATACAGAGAACTGAAGTATATAAATTAACATATTCAATTGGTGAGTGTGTATTGAATAGGCAGAGAAGTTATATCCACATTTACTATCCTTATTCCTCACAATTAATTCCATTTATACTTAACTTTTTTATTAGGTAGGGCTACAAGCAAATCTTAGAGTCTAACTATAAAGTGTATTCTCATTAGGAGCTCTCACAAGTTCAGGCTATTCTGCACTAGAAAATCCCAAGCAAACAAGCTGATCTAGGGGTATAAGTGGGATCTGAGGCAACTCCAGAGTGGTAGTGCTTTCATCAGTTCACCTCAGGATAAATTTAAATCTCTGAGTGAGTACATGAACATTCTTCAAATTCATGAAGATCACAAGACAAGAATGCAATTTCGGGCCTTTCCTGGTCTAGACCTACAGTGCTAGGATGCCTTAAAAATCATGAGTAGGGACTGGGTTATTGAGAGCTTTTAGCACTACTAGTTCTGATGGCATCAGATTTTTGTCAACAAATGTCTGAAGAACTCTCTCTCTCTTTCTCTAATGTTTTAAAATATTTTAATGCAAAAGAAAGAAGCAATGTATTTTCTTACCGGTAGTGCCAAGAAAAAGCAATGTCATGATCCAATAAGCCCAAAATAGTACTAGAGCAAAGAAAGTCCAAAAGGGCTGGAAGACTAGCAGGGGCAAGTGAATGAAGACCTTGCCAGCCACATGGAACAGGGCAATGGTGAGAGCAACACGTTTGCGCATAACCAACATTATCAGGAACAAGATAACCTGTACAGAGAGAACAGGGGGCAGGATTCCAGTTACCAGTTTTAAGTAGTGAAAAGTAGAACTGAAAATGTTGGAACTTTTAAACAGAACTCTTCATTCCAAACCCTGTAAGTATCATTCTCTGAATCAGAACAATACTTTATCAGTCTATATCTTCCAGTACTTACAATTTAATTGTACATTATCCTAAGTATCCTTTAAAACTACACAAAAATGGCTTTCTCAATGTATTAGTAAGTCCTAGAATTCCTCCACCTTTCCCTTAGCAACTCATTATGTATCCAAATAGTTTGGCAGTCATAAGAATTTTACTTCCTTTTTTCTTTTCCTTTTTTGCTATAGGACACACTAGCCATGGAGAGAGAGAGAGAAAAAGGGAGGGAAAATGAGAAATCATATCCCAAGGGGGATGGCCATGTGCTGAAATCCAATCCCTTCTCCTCCATTCTCCTCTTGGGATTCTGGGCACGCCAGCACAAGCACATGGTGTGATCCTGAATTCAATGTGGGATACAGCTGCCCCAACCTCTATGCCACTTGCTGGCCAGACACTCTTACTTCACATAGATACATACATGTGTATTATTCTGACAAACAGTAAGAGGAACACGTGCCATCCACCTCAGTGGACCATGGGCTCCTCAAAAGTGGGGTCCACGCCAGATTCACCTTCTGCCTCCTTCCCAGTCCCCACACTAACTCACCAGCAGCTGGCACAGCAAATTGTATTTAAAACTTGGCTAATCAGTACTCGTATGATAATAACTAACAAGTATGTTTTGGCACCAATAGTTTTAGTTTTCATTTTTAATAACCAGTTAAAAACTTGAGGATTATTACTAGAAGTAATCTGATCTTTTTTAAGACCATAAACCAAAGATATGAGTAGATTAAAAACATGTTAATTAGTAATTTTACTGCATAATGGCTAAGCAATGAATCTTAACCTCTTTGTGAAATAATACGTATTGTTAAAAGTTTGGGAAGAAATGAAAAATCGGTAGTCAAATATATGGAATAATATATTTCTTAATACACTGTTCTACAGTGAAGATAGCTGTTTTTCAAAAAAAATGAAATTAAAGGGCCAGTTTTTGATGTGGTGGTTAAGGTGGCTGGATCTCACATGGCTGACTGTGGGGTTGAGTCCTGGACCCAACAACCTGAGAAACACTTTGGGCACACAGGTGTGCCCAAAATCCTGAAAGGAGGGAGAGATGGGAGAGAAGAGATTGCAGTGTGACCATTCCCTAAGTGGAAGCACTTTCTCAGTTTCTCCCTCTCTTGCCAGCAAGTGCAAATGCCCTCTGGTGAAATCAAAACAAAAGGGAAAAAATAATATGTTCTTATTAGTGAACGATATAGTAAATGTTCTACATGAAAACCCTCTCACAAATCAGATGGTGAGAACAAAATGTTGCATCAAATAGGATTCAGAATGAGGGAGGACTTCAGAAGACTTCATATTTTCCAACTATGGGACAGAGTGCCTACAGCACCCACTCTTCTTATGAATAAAAGATAAAGAGATTTTCTCTTATGGAAATTGGAGGTAGGCATGCAAATGCTAGAGATGAATTTCTGTGCCATGAATGATCTCCTGCAAATGAAAATACAAAACTGAAAAAAACACTTAAGCTTAACTCACTGTGAACACTGTGGCTGAAATGGCATAGATGAGGAGGGCCCGAAGATTGTCTTCAGCTATCTGGAGCTGTTCAGGAATAATAGTTTCTTTGGGGGACCTTCTTTGCTTTGCATATAGCCACCACAGTACACCTGTACCACCTGGAGGAAAAGTAAGTGTTTCAGTAATAATAAGCACAAGACAATGTGTAACATACTTCCTCCATTTTCTGGACTCTTTGTACACATCATTGCGGGCCTAATATAACAACAATCCTTTGGGCTGGAAGGTGCATAGCTGTACCTTTTTCCCAGCACAAGGGACATGTACCAATTACTCCAATATCATCTTCCACATAAAGCACTTATAAAACTTTCAAGTATCAAAACTCTTTCAACTGTATTGATTATGTTGACTGAAGAAGCTAAGAGAGGATGGGTAAAAACATAACCTGACAAGAGTTGATCCAAAAGAAAGAGTCTCAGCATTTAACCAGGGGAGGCTAAAGGAAGCAAAGAAAGGTCACAGAAAACATCAATGAAGCGAGAGGTAGCAAGGGCCCCTCTATTGTATGCATTTCTATAACCCCAGTGCCTAGCACTGACAGAGTCATGCAACTGACTAAATATTCGCGCAATCAATAAATTTAGATCAAAAGAGTAATTTCCACCAAAATAGGAATGAAGACAGAAAATGTCTGAAAATGGTAGGTGCCAGGAGGGGTATTTTATCTCCAGCATTGGTTGAGAGATTCAGAGGACTAAACTGAAGGAGACAAACCTACCTTCATTAGGAAAGTTGCATGGGACACACTCATTTAAACCATTAAACAAACATTTTGAGTGGTTACAGCACCCACTGTTCTAGTGGGTCCCTATTCTCATAACTCAACAGAGCTTAAAGAGTAATGGGGAAACTAAAAATAAGGAAATAAGTAACACTATAGTATAATAAGTCTAAGGAAAAATATCTCCTGATGAAAGAGAGATAGTGTGCTTGGGCTGGGAAAGCATTGCAATTTTTTTTCGGGCTGCTGGGTCTGGGACTCAAACCACAGAGTTGACATGTGGGATCATCATCTGGCTGGCCCAGCACTGCAACTTTATGTAAGATGGGTAAGCAAGACCTCACTGGTAGAATCACATCTGAGCAAGAGAATCAAAGAGAGCAAGTGGTCTATTAAAGCATTAAGGAAATAATCTTCCCGGCAAAGTTCTAAGATGCTGAGGTGGGATCTTGCCCACTACGAGAGAAAGTAAGAGACCACTGTGGCTAAAACATTGGACAAGAAGGAAAAAAAGTGGTAAAAAATGTGGGCAGACGGGCAACTGGGGACCAGAAAGACCATACTATAAGGCCTTGTAGGCCACAGTAAGAAAATGGATGGTTCAGAGCAGAATTGTGTGTGTAGGTGATAAGATAAACGCCCGAGAGATAAAGTGAAAAGGAACAAAACTGGACAAAGACCTATGCACTTCAACCTGACTTCCATCTGTACTTAAGCAAAGAATAAATGGAGTTAAAGGGAAATTCCATAGCCTATCTATTGGCAAATACCAAGTATGAAATGTTCTTTTGATGAAGGTGAGAAAACCAACCAAAACAACCAGGAATCTATGAAAAGCATTTGGAACAGGGGAAATGATTTCATTCTGAAATCTTACAGATATAAGAAAATGGTAAGGAAAACTATTTAAGATCCTCAAAAAATAGAAGAAAATATTTTTGTATATACAGGTCTTAAAAGTTATGAGGAAAAAAAGCTAAAAAGGCAAGACAAACAGAATGAGATAATGAAATCAAGAACACTGTTTATAATAACCACAGCAGATGTTTATTAAACATTAAATTTGTGCTAGGAACTGTGCTAATCCTTTCATAGACCTGACCTGATTTAATCATGAGAACACTATTAAGAAGGTATTATGACTTCTATTTTACAGAATATAAAACTGAAATGTAGGAAAGTTAAGTAAACTCACATACCTAGGAAGTGGCAGAACTGAAATTTGATTCTCAACACAGATTTAGATACTAAGGCTACAAGTCAAAATGAAAAGAAAGATGATTAAGAAAAGGAAGAACTACAAATAAAGTGAAATTGGAATAACAAAATTTAGATCCTCCTCACAGACAATCAGATACTAGAGCTAGTAGTGAGAAAATTAAATCGGTGATAGGAAAAAAAAATGTTTAGATTTAAAAAAAGATCATAGGCAACTGAGATTCAGAATTAAACAACATTTTTAAGTTTTAAGGGTACATTAAACATTTCATAAACATGTAGGTGGGTGAAACAGGTTGAGTAAAGACACAAAATTTAGACTGGTCTTTGAATTCTTCTCTGGAACAAAGTACAGACACAAAGGAGCATACTGTATGTGAAGAATTTTATACCCAGTGAATTTAATATTCACATGTGAAGACAAAGACAACCTTAAATAAGCAAGTATTGAGACAATATATTACTCATAATCTTTTTTAAGACCATAAACCAAAGATATGAGTAGATTAAAAACATGTTAATTAGTAATTTTACTGCATAATGGCTAAGCAATGAATCTTAACCTCTTTGTGAAATAATACGTATTGTTAAAAGTTTGGGAAGAAATGAAAAATCGGTAGTCAAATATATGGAATAATATATTTCTTAATACACTGTTCTACAGTGAAGATAGCTGTTTTTCAAAAAAAATGAAATTAAAGGGCCAGTTTTTGATGTGGTGGTTAAGGTGGCTGGATCTCACATGGCTGACTGTGGGGTTGAGTCCTGGACCCAACAACCTGAGAAACACTTTGGGCACACAGGTGTGCCCAAAATCCTGAAAGGAGGGAGAGATGGGAGAGAAGAGATTGCAGTGTGACCATTCCCTAAGTGGAAGCACTTTCTCAGTTTCTCCCTCTCTTGCCAGCAAGTGCAAATGCCCTCTGGTGAAATCAAAACAAAAGGGAAAAAATAATATGTTCTTATTAGTGAACGATATAGTAAATGTTCTACATGAAAACCCTCTCACAAATCAGATGGTGAGAACAAAATGTTGCATCAAATAGGATTCAGAATGAGGGAGGACTTCAGAAGACTTCATATTTTCCAACTATGGGACAGAGTGCCTACAGCACCCACTCTTCTTATGAATAAAAGATAAAGAGATTTTCTCTTATGGAAATTGGAGGTAGGCATGCAAATGCTAGAGATGAATTTCTGTGCCATGAATGATCTCCTGCAAATGAAAATACAAAACTGAAAAAAACACTTAAGCTTAACTCACTGTGAACACTGTGGCTGAAATGGCATAGATGAGGAGGGCCCGAAGATTGTCTTCAGCTATCTGGAGCTGTTCAGGAATAATAGTTTCTTTGGGGGACCTTCTTTGCTTTGCATATAGCCACCACAGTACACCTGTACCACCTGGAGGAAAAGTAAGTGTTTCAGTAATAATAAGCACAAGACAATGTGTAACATACTTCCTCCATTTTCTGGACTCTTTGTACACATCATTGCGGGCCTAATATAACAACAATCCTTTGGGCTGGAAGGTGCATAGCTGTACCTTTTTCCCAGCACAAGGGACATGTACCAATTACTCCAATATCATCTTCCACATAAAGCACTTATAAAACTTTCAAGTATCAAAACTCTTTCAACTGTATTGATTATGTTGACTGAAGAAGCTAAGAGAGGATGGGTAAAAACATAACCTGACAAGAGTTGATCCAAAAGAAAGAGTCTCAGCATTTAACCAGGGGAGGCTAAAGGAAGCAAAGAAAGGTCACAGAAAACATCAATGAAGCGAGAGGTAGCAAGGGCCCCTCTATTGTATGCATTTCTATAACCCCAGTGCCTAGCACTGACAGAGTCATGCAACTGACTAAATATTCGCGCAATCAATAAATTTAGATCAAAAGAGTAATTTCCACCAAAATAGGAATGAAGACAGAAAATGTCTGAAAATGGTAGGTGCCAGGAGGGGTATTTTATCTCCAGCATTGGTTGAGAGATTCAGAGGACTAAACTGAAGGAGACAAACCTACCTTCATTAGGAAAGTTGCATGGGACACACTCATTTAAACCATTAAACAAACATTTTGAGTGGTTACAGCACCCACTGTTCTAGTGGGTCCCTATTCTCATAACTCAACAGAGCTTAAAGAGTAATGGGGAAACTAAAAATAAGGAAATAAGTAACACTATAGTATAATAAGTCTAAGGAAAAATATCTCCTGATGAAAGAGAGATAGTGTGCTTGGGCTGGGAAAGCATTGCAATTTTTTTTCGGGCTGCTGGGTCTGGGACTCAAACCACAGAGTTGACATGTGGGATCATCATCTGGCTGGCCCAGCACTGCAACTTTATGTAAGATGGGTAAGCAAGACCTCACTGGTAGAATCACATCTGAGCAAGAGAATCAAAGAGAGCAAGTGGTCTATTAAAGCATTAAGGAAATAATCTTCCCGGCAAAGTTCTAAGATGCTGAGGTGGGATCTTGCCCACTACGAGAGAAAGTAAGAGACCACTGTGGCTAAAACATTGGACAAGAAGGAAAAAAAGTGGTAAAAAATGTGGGCAGACGGGCAACTGGGGACCAGAAAGACCATACTATAAGGCCTTGTAGGCCACAGTAAGAAAATGGATGGTTCAGAGCAGAATTGTGTGTGTAGGTGATAAGATAAACGCCCGAGAGATAAAGTGAAAAGGAACAAAACTGGACAAAGACCTATGCACTTCAACCTGACTTCCATCTGTACTTAAGCAAAGAATAAATGGAGTTAAAGGGAAATTCCATAGCCTATCTATTGGCAAATACCAAGTATGAAATGTTCTTTTGATGAAGGTGAGAAAACCAACCAAAACAACCAGGAATCTATGAAAAGCATTTGGAACAGGGGAAATGATTTCATTCTGAAATCTTACAGATATAAGAAAATGGTAAGGAAAACTATTTAAGATCCTCAAAAAATAGAAGAAAATATTTTTGTATATACAGGTCTTAAAAGTTATGAGGAAAAAAAGCTAAAAAGGCAAGACAAACAGAATGAGATAATGAAATCAAGAACACTGTTTATAATAACCACAGCAGATGTTTATTAAACATTAAATTTGTGCTAGGAACTGTGCTAATCCTTTCATAGACCTGACCTGATTTAATCATGAGAACACTATTAAGAAGGTATTATGACTTCTATTTTACAGAATATAAAACTGAAATGTAGGAAAGTTAAGTAAACTCACATACCTAGGAAGTGGCAGAACTGAAATTTGATTCTCAACACAGATTTAGATACTAAGGCTACAAGTCAAAATGAAAAGAAAGATGATTAAGAAAAGGAAGAACTACAAATAAAGTGAAATTGGAATAACAAAATTTAGATCCTCCTCACAGACAATCAGATACTAGAGCTAGTAGTGAGAAAATTAAATCGGTGATAGGAAAAAAAAATGTTTAGATTTAAAAAAAGATCATAGGCAACTGAGATTCAGAATTAAACAACATTTTTAAGTTTTAAGGGTACATTAAACATTTCATAAACATGTAGGTGGGTGAAACAGGTTGAGTAAAGACACAAAATTTAGACTGGTCTTTGAATTCTTCTCTGGAACAAAGTACAGACACAAAGGAGCATACTGTATGTGAAGAATTTTATACCCAGTGAATTTAATATTCACATGTGAAGACAAAGACAACCTTAAATAAGCAAGTATTGAGACAATATATTACTCATAAATCTTAAATGAATAAGCTACTTGAATGTACATTCCAGTCAATATAAATATGAACTGAAACCCAGAAGTCGTCTAAGAGAAGGACCTGCTCAAACGATTCCAGGAAAACTTAAACGTAGATACAATTAAGAAACTTTCCAAGTAAATATAAGCACCTATTTAAAGACGATATGGTATGTAAAAATAATATTTTAACTTTCCTAATAACCTAATTATAATAGCTCAGAATATTTACTAAGAGCTAAAAAAATGTGGGTGAGCAGAAAGGAGCAGGGGGGAAAGGAAGAAAAATATATGCTAAATTTAACGGAAAAAGGGGAAAAGTTCACATTTATCATTTCGTTTGCCTTTAATAATTATAAAATTCTAGATTAAATAATAATTTCTGAAAACATATGATTTACCAACTATAAAAATAAAAATATAAAATATACCATCCAAAGCAAGGGTAAAGATCACCACAGGAAACATAGTTCACATAGCAAAGACAGGGAAAACAAAATTAAAAAGCACAAATGTCAGGAAAACAAAAAAGGATGACAACAATAAAAGCAAATATACCAGTTAGGATTTTAAATGTAAATAGGGACAAATTCCATTACTAAGGGACAAATTCCATTACTAAAAGAGTTTCTGACTCAGTTTTAAAAATTTAAATATGTAATATACATCATATACACAGAAAAACAGTTTGGACTTCAAATGCTAACAAGCAGTGAAATATGGGGAGGGAAATAAATATAATTATAAAATTCCTTTTTTAAAAAAAGATTTATTTAATTTTTAATTTATTCATTCATTATTTTAATTTGATCAGAGAGAGGCAGAGAGAGAGAGGGAAAGTGAGAAAGCAAGTCAGGAGGTCCAGGACTCGAACTGTGATAGGCCATATGAGAGTGTCCGGCACCTTAACCACCACACCACCTGCTGGTCCATGAATTATGAAATTTCTTAAGGCAAAAATAAACACTTTTTTTTAAGAATCATGTGCTCAACTTTATTTATTTTATTATTTTTAAATTTGACCAGAGAGAGACACAGAGAGAGAGAGAGAGAGAAAATGAGAAAGCAAGTCACCAGGTCCAGGACCCGAACTGTGGTTGGCCATGTGGGTCCAGTGCCTCAACCACCACACCAGCACTTTCTTTTTTTTCTTTCTTTTTTTTTTTTTTCTGATAGCGAGTACATGGACTCCCGAGAAAGAAGAAGATGAGAAAGGGGACATGCTCCCATTACAATCCCTTTTCCTCTCTCTCTCTCCCTCTTTTCAGAATATTGGGCATGCATGCACATGCACTTGGTGTGTTTCTCAGGCCACTGAGTCCAGGACTTCAACTGTGTGATCAGCCATGTGGGATCCAGCTGCCTTAACCACCATGCCATGGAGTTGGCCCAAAATAAACACTTTCCTTTTTGTTTTAAATTTACTTTTTAATACATTCCATCACTGTATATTATTACAGCTTGTAAAATGAATTTTCCCAGCATAAATTTACACTGTATTATTAGTACAGTTAAAGATACTATCCATGCTATTATCAACAGATTATCTGTTTTTTAAAGAGAAAATACAGCACATGAAAATAAAATGATTTTCTCTTTATATTTCTATTTTCAATCATGAATGTAGTTAAGTAACATAAAAAATAAATCAATAAATAGCTTACCAAGTGACCCCAGTATGACCAGAATTGTTACGATCCACACCAGTACTCTTGATATATACCTGATTATCACCATCAAAATCATGGATAGAACTGCAGAAAAGAAAAATACAGAACACATAGAATATCATTTGTAAACACAGGAATATATAAAGAGAAACCCCTTCAATTGTTTTTTCCCTAGGCAATTAATTTATTGCCATTCATGCCCATAATTTAAGAAAGGAAACTGGCTGCTTTTGCATTTTAACTGTGCTACTTGCACTTCTTAAACAGTATCTAACTCTGTGGTTTCTACTACAGAAAAGAAGACATGCAAATGCACCTGGTGACTCAAAAACAGCACAGGACTGTTGTGGAATCACCATGGGGGAGACATCAGACATGCAAACATACATGCCAGCACACAAAGTGTAGAGAATGACATGTCATGTTGGTGACAAGAAAAATTACCACATGTAGACAGAGATCAGGTGCTACACTTCCTTGAGTAATCTATGCACTTCTATACCAATTTCTCTGATGGCCAGTCAACAAGTTAGAGGGCATTTTATCTTTTTCTGGTTATTTCTCCTCTAGAACTTCAAGGGACAGACTGACACTATAGAATAGTATTTGAAAGCTTACTGAGGCCAAAATTTCTCTGAACTCATTTCTCAACTGGGTTCATGGATTCCAACAGAGAAGCTCTTCCTCAAAAAAGGTGCAAAGCTTAGTTTGAATTATTCAGTCAAGTCCTCTACCTGTCCCAAGATAAATCCCCATGTGCCAAAGTCAGGGGTAAAAGCTCAGAAACGAAATGGGGGACTTAACCTTTGCACAAGAAATACATTTCTGAAATAATAATTTGTACATCCTTAATTATCTAAAGGCCCAAATAAATTTGTCCAAACAAATGAACAAAGATCTTTTGGGTTTATATTACACTTGTAAGCCAGAATCCTTGGAATTAGAAAGGAAACTGCAATGGTTTAACAACATTATTGTTACTATTTTTAAAGTTTGGAGATTATTTTTGGTTATAGCATTCAACCATTTCAGAAACCAAATAATTTTTACATAAAGTCAGCTAGTAATCGAGTTTCTTTTGGCTATTTGCAAAGCCAAATAAATGGTTGGGATCTGTGTCTAAGTAACATTATTAAGGTACTCACTTTTGCAATAAATGTACAGGAACCAAAAACAGATGGGAGCCTTTCAAATATCACAGAATTAGATTTTCATATGGACAGCATTATTTCAATTGAGTCAAGTACTACCTAAGCAAAAAGAAAATACTCTCTAATGACAGGAAAGACGGAAATACAGCTTGTATCTTCTCAATGACTGTAAATGCTATTAACAGGCACAAGTACTAATTTCACTCATATAATGAAATATTTGTTTGGGTCCTACCACGGTTTATTTCTCCCAATAAGAAGGCCTATAGATTCTGATATGGCTACATACAGTCCTAGAATAATACAGGGAGTTTTCATCTTGAAAACAAATAATTTGATTATATTATCTATTTATTGACTAGAAAACACAGTGGCTAACAAGTGGAGATTTCCTAACTTTTCCAGCAATATGATGATATTGTGAACTGTAGAAATGAAAATTACATACTTCAAAAGGAATCTATCAGAAATCTCTGTTCTTAGATGGGAATACATAAGAGAATATGTAACTTCTTTTATAAGTAAATACACTTTTCGGAATCATAACTGAAAACAGAGAGTTACTGATTGATTCATTAAAGGAGGACTCCTGCTCTCATCTTAGAGACAGTTATAGACCTAGAAATCAAAGTTTGGAAAATACCAGTTTGCTCCAATGAAAGAAAAAGAAATGAGTTTCAGATATATATACATATTTATATGTACGTATTTATAGCTATATATAATCTGAAACAATTACTTTGGCTATGGGAAGTTAAACATTTTACAAATATCTCCAGTTGTCTTCATATTTTGGCTAAAAGAACAGTCTTCTACTGCAGTACTATGCAATAGCTAATAATGAGAAAAACAATTACCTAGTGACAACAAGCAAAGTCCCAATATAATTTCTTTGCTGGTCATTACTCCACTAATCAGCCTGTGTAAGACACTATTGTCACTGACAAAGGTGATCAGGGCCTCTGCAAACTTGGCATAGCAGGAAATGTTCACAGGAGCACAGCGATGGAAGAATGGAATAGGTGCACTGGTGACACAAGAAAAAAAAATCAGAAAAAAAATTACTCCTACGTAATATAAATGCCACATCAAACACACAAATGAAAGGTGAGTATGGCTGCAATACACTCCACCCTCCACACGTCGTTATGGGAGCTAAGAGCTGTGTGCTTAATGCTATGAAGATGACTGTCATGGGTAATGATGCAAATCTTACCACGAGCCTTATTAAAGAGGGTGGAGTGCATGTTCCAACAAAGACATTACCCTCCCCTTCTGGAAAGAAACACACACGCATACATACACATACAGAACTACCAGAAGCAAAACCAAACACTTAAACTCCTCGGCCTGCACATCTACCAATCAAGGGGCAGAGGATGAAGCTTACAAACATATAGTTCATCAAACTGAAAATAAATTTTTGCCATAAGTGATTTAAAAGTAAAACACACACATGCTTTTCTTGAAATGTGCCATCATTCTGTCTCCAACAGAATGGCATTGAAAACCTCAGATTAGGAATAAATAGAGGACATTAGCTTAATATCTATATAAACTAGTCATGCCAGGATATCAACATACAGCATAATATGCAGCTATTTAAAACAATGACTATTAATATATGGAAGCACTTATAATAATACAAGCGGGAAAATATATCTAATGCGATGACATCTCTGCATAAGGATTACATTGGGTCATCAGAAAAGTTTTTCTGTGCAAAAATGCATCATGACTTTTCCAACGACCCAATACATAAGAATGAGAACAGAAAAAGAATGTATGAATGGAACAGTGAAAAATATCTGGCTTATTATGGTCATGAAAGTCTGTTCTATTTTCTTTTCTCTTTATATGTTACTACTAATCCAAAATATCTATGTCCAAAAAAAAGGGGTAAAACAACCAATTACTTAATAATTTATATCAGGACTACAGTTTTTATTTGTGAAGGAACACAGCTGTTTGTGAACTGTGACACAAATCTGGTTTGTTATAACCTAACTACTTCAGCTTATAGCTAGGTCAGTGAGAGATTTTAAACAAGTAACTATGAAAATGCCTTCGGATGTGGTTTGTTTGAATCCTAAGAGCACCTGTATGTGTGTTCGTGCACAAATAGACATTTATACATGTGCATAAAGTTAAAATTTAGCCATCATTAATTCAAATCCCACATTTTCAGAATTATTCATAAGTTGGTCAAAGTGCTAACATTTTTAACTGGAATAATATAAATGTGTCATTCTTGGGATCAGCAGTTAGTGTAATGGCTAAGCCGCTGAACTCCCGTGTAGTCGACCGCGGTTCAAGTCACGGATCCGGTGGCTTAAACTCATGCCGGGTGCATGTGCGTGTGTGCCCAAGATCCTGAGAGGAGAATGGAGGAGAAGGGATTGTGGTGTGGCCATCCCCCCAGGGGGTGATTTCTCGCTTTCTGTCTCTCTGTCTCTCTTTCTGGCGAGCGTGTGCACCCTATAGCAAAAACCTCTAAAAATAAATAAATAAATAAATAAATAAATAAATGTGTCATTCTTGGTTGGCACTGTATTTAGGTTTACTTAGTGTATAGGATGACACAATTGGGTACCAAATTGCAAGGTTTCTAATCTCAGCAAAGCAACTTCGCATAACCTGAGTCAGAAGTTCTAGATAGGGCTAGCCTCTAGGCCCATTACCTAATGGTTAAGGACATCAGATCCCACATGGCTGACCATGGGTGATTCAAATCCTGCCCCACAGCTTGGAAAAATATACCAGGTGCATGTGTGAGTATGCCCAAAATGTGGAGAAATGGAGAAGGGATTGCACTGTGACTGTGACCCTCTAAGAGATGCCTCCCCACCCCATACCCACCCAGCAAGTACATGCACTATCTAGCAATTTTAAAAAAAGGCCTGGCTGATGCTCCTTACACTGCACGGCTGTGTGCTATTCCATTTCTCTTGTTTTCTCCATTTGTTAGCAGAAAGGGTTGGGGTTATCTACACAATAAAGTCTCTTCAGGTGGTCATCAGCATCACTATAATCATCATCAGAGGGCCCACCCATAAATCAATGATTCTAAACTGTATAGAAGTGGCATACCCAGTACTTTCACTGCTTTTTTCAAATGGGATGAGGACAGATGATTTGAAAAAGGAAAGACTGTACTCTCAAAATTCTGATCCATAGAGTGAGGAAATATGGGGTAATATCTGTTCTGAATTTATCCTTTCATTTTTATACTTTCAAATCACGTTTATATAAGCATTTAGTTATTTGGGAGACCAGCAGTTGGCATAATGGCTATGTCGCTGGATTCCCATGTAGTCGATCGCAGTTCGAGTCCTGGACCCGGTGGTTTAAACTCACGCCGGGTGCATGTGCACGTGTGCCCAAGATCCCGAGAGGAGAAAGGATTGCAGTGTGGCCATCCCCCCTGGGGGGTGATTTCTTGCTTTCTGTCTATCTGTCTCTCTCTATCTTTCTGGTGAGCGCACATGCCCTATAGCTAAAACCTGCTCCCCCCCCCAAAAAAAACTTGGTCATTTGGAAAGAGTACTTTTATAAGAATCCTTCAAAGAACTGTAGCAAAATAACAACAGTCCTTACCCTATAATTCAATCTATGTCAGTTAAAAAAAGCTGACAGCTCTAAATTTACAGGTATAAAATTAGCACAAGCTGATTAACTATGCTGTCTAGCTGATAGCCAAAATCTGCTCTTAGTGGTAATGAATACTAGAAATAGAAGGTCAATAAGAGGAAATAATAAAAAGAACACATTATTAGGAAATAAAGTTAAATTCTTAGCTTTAACACAAAATGTACTTAAGAAAAAGTAAAACGCACTAGATTTTCTTGTCATTCTCAGCTCTTCCCCAAAGAATTCTATCAACTGCAAGGCTTTAATACCTGAATTTCATTTTCTTATTAAAAAAAAAATAAGTAATCATGGCATTGAAATGGTTTGTCTATATTTTACTATTTAAATCCTATGTGTGATACAATGAATTTAAGATGAGATGAATTCGCTAATTTCATATACCCCTGAGATGATAATTCTTCCGAGAATCTAGCATATGAGCTCATTTCTACTTTAGTGCTTAACCTAAATGACACATTCTGTGCTTCCTACTAAGAGGGCACCATAAAATATCCTATTTACAATATTCTACTTTTCAAGCCCACTGAATTTTAATCTTTAAGAAGTCAATGTAGTCCCATTAGGAAAAGATGCTGTTTCACGTTATTGAAAGAGCAGACAACAAGAACAAAATGAATTTATAATGAGTCTTTTAAAGATTTTTAAAGATTAGTCACTCATAAGAAAATTCTACCTTACCTTGGAAAACATACTGTCCATTTGCCTTCAAGTCCAGATTATCACAGTTAATGAGCTCCCTGAAGTATGATGACAAACAATGCCTAACATCTCTCATTCACATGCCTTCAGGAAGGCAGGAGTTTGCATTTCACACAATTATTTTAGAACCGTGGGTTATGAATAAACAATTACACATGATTTCCAGCTAAAAAGTTTATTATTTAAGAAAGAATAATAATCAAGGGTCCTGGCACTATCTCTATAGCACAAAACAGGTAGGAAATAAATCTAGAATCTAATGGCAATATAGGATGGTTTTCTTACATTTCATTTATTTACTTTCTCTCTTCCTTTACTCCTATGTCCCCTCCTCCTCTTTTCTAAATTTTACCAGAGGCCACGTGCACTCACCAGAAGGAGACAGAGACAGAGAAGAAATGAGAAAGCACCCGCAATGGGGAATGGTCAAACAGCAATCCCTCCGCCTCCATCTCCCCCTCTTTTTGGGAGTTTGGGCACGCGTGCACATGCACCCACATGGTTCTCAGCCCAGTTGGTCCAGGATTTGAACTGTAAGGTTGGTCATATGCGATCCAGCTGCCTTAACCACCTCCCTCTTTTCTTCCTAACTTTTACTGTGGTATAGACTCTACAAATTCTGACTCACAACAATTAGTTAAATGGCCTTAAAAAACTTAACTTTTCTCCTCTTCTATGGTGGCTGGCACAGGAGGCCACGTGCACTCACCAGAAGGAGACAGAGACAGAGAAGAAATGAGAAAGCACCGCAATGGGGAATGGTCAAACAGCAATCCCTCCGCCTCCATCTCCCCCTCTTTTTGGGAGTTTGGGCACGCGTGCACATGCACCCACATGGTTCTCAGCCCAGTTGGTCCAGGATTTGAACTGTAAGGTTGGTCATATGCGATCCAGCTGCCTTAACCACCTCCCTCTTTTCTTCCTAACTTTTACTGTGGTATAGACTCTACAAATTCTGACTCACAACAATTAGTTAAATGGCCTTAAAAAACTTAACTTTTCTCCTCTTCTATGGTGGCTGGCACAGAGTAGATGATTTTTAAATGTTAACTTATCCTTGAATCCGCCATTAACATTTTTTTGGACTAATAATTTGCAAGCTCCATATTATATTATTGAATCCCCAATACCTAGTAAATCTTCTGGCATCCAGGGGTATCCAAATAAATGATGAAAAAAACCGAACTTATATTTTCACTGTTCCTCCTTTCTCCAGATATACGTAATGGCACTGTAAGCGTATGAGCTAACCATTCCCCATTGGTATCATGTTTGACATTTCACCAATAGACAGGAGTTTGGATTAAAGACCTCCTTCCTAGGCGCTTGCCTTTAACATTCAAAAGCTCAGAATGGCAATTGGTTATTTCTTGTATTTTCTTGAAAATTCGTTTACATTTGCTTTTCTCTAAAGCAGGCACTGCTTTCAGCTGCAGAGGGTCCCTGGATTCCCAGAAAGACTGGAACAGAGAGGCTCCAGAAGTTGAGATAAATGATACTTCCTAAGCCAAGTACAAAGCACAATAATAGATGTTCAGGTCTTACGGTTCTATGAGACACATCTGAGGAAAGTTGGGTTTGTAAAACAATTAAAGACTTGTTTTAGCTGCCAAATAGAAAGTGGTGAATGGAATTCACTTCCAGACTTAATCTGGATTCAAATTTCATGCTCTTCTCTCTCGCTAGGATGCTCCCCAAGGACAGCAGAAGAGATGTGAAAGATGCGGAGGATCACTGGCCTCCATCACAGTTTTGCATAGTGCTTGCTTTTTGGCATTAAAAAGAAAATCGTCACCTAAATCAGTCCCCACTAGAGTATAAGTTTAAAGATCAAGACCAGATTACTCAGAATTGGAGACTTGGTGTAGAATGAGACTATGTGTAGAATGAAATAGTGCCCCATTTGAAAAATTAAAACAAAATATTTTTGCTTTCAGATCATTTAATTTTATTTGCCAAATACTAAATAACTGATATTTACAAGTTCTAATTTGCCTTTCTTTCTTTCAATTTGTTTCTTCTCATTTACTTTCCAATAAGCAGTTTAGACAAACGAGTTATTTAGTTTATGAAGTACTAATATAATTAAAACATAAGGATCTTTTAAAATAGTATGAATATGGTGAAGAGCCAGTTTCAGATGGTACAGGTTCAGTGTTAGATCAGATGACCTTGTTAGAAACCAGGTATACCCATCCCCAAAACTCACACCCATAATACTATGCTTTATCTTTTACACTGTTAGAACACTGTGAGATTAGTGTATGTGTGTGTATGTGTGTGTGTACAGTCAAAAACAGGAAAACTGAAGATTACCAGGAACGGGCAGTCCTAAACATAGTGGAGTAAGAGGAGAGAGGCAGGGATGGATGTGCATTGTGAGCTGAACTGTCTGGCCCCTGCCTGCCACATCCACTTTATGGAGGAGTAGAGCAACCTCATTCTCTCACCTAGGTTTTCTGGTTATCCTTTCATGATGTTTTAGCTTAAAAATATAACCCTTCACTCAAAGTACGCATTTAAAACAGACTTTATCAGTTGGGTGGATAAGGCTTTAGAGCTTTTCTTGTTTTTACATTGATAAATTTTCTCCATTGCCTCAAAGAGCCTCCTTCTCTTTACTGTTGCAGTCTCCCTAATAGTCTCAGTTTCCATGAATACAATCTCCTTACCTGTTGGCCTAAAGCCATAATTTGTAGGTTCCTCTTCCTGTGTATCTTCTAAAGCAGTCTCTTTATTTTTATGTCTCTAGGTCTGAAATTTGATTTTCTATATAAACTTGGAAAGATTGGAAATCAATTCAACTGATCTATCTTATATCCCTTTTCCATTTTTCAACAGAATATTTCAAATTGCAGTTGATAAAGCAAAAGTTACCCCCATATGAAATCCAAAAATAAGTACATGTGAGTTTCAAAAATTGTCACCTGAATAAGCCATTATATTAAGATTCAATAAAAGTGGTTTCTAGTCAGTTTTCCTAGAAGTTGACTCACATCATATACAATTATATATTAAGGTTCTCAAAATCAGGTATGCTCCAAAGAGTGGGTGTATGTGTGCGCATGCATACACACAAATATACATACATGTCCACACACAATTCTGAGGATATATTCTACAATATTTGAGAATTTATTTCTTTTTCTTAAAAAATGTATTTATAACTTCAAAATTTGCTTTATTTATAATTGCTGTGAGATCCTTCCAAAGAACATTTCTTGTTTCAGCTCTGTATCCAATACATGCAGTCAGTACTTAATAATGTTTGTTGAATAAGACTTTGGATAAGATACAGCAAACAGCTTAAAACAAAGAATGTACCTATAGGAAGTAACCGGAAATGAACTAGGGAGAATAATCACTGGCATATTTTTTAAATTTATAAAGTAAATTAAAAAATAATACTAGTAAGTATTACTAGGATCAACTTCAAAGAATCTTTGGAGATTGTAAGATTTAAGTCTCCAAGTTTGTTGCAGATTTTATAATGATTCAGCAGTTTCATATATTTAAAAATGATGCTATGAAAATAAAAACACACCAAAAAAAGCCCCTGGAAGAAATGTAAACTATGTGAGAACAAGAAAAATGGCTTTGTCTATGTATTTTATTTTTTAAGATGTAAAAAGTATCCTGTCATTTCTATTGCTACTTTAAAATTTTTATCATAAAAGCATGGGATCTGGGAAACAGGTATCATCCAGTGACTATTTTTCTGAGAATAACACGTAGCTTTACAATTTACCTACAAAACAAAAGTCACAAGTTAACAACTTTGCAATAAAATTTACCTCGCTGGAACTGGTAGTTTGGGGCAAAGAACAGAAGATTTTGAAGATGTAGTATATTCAGAAGGTTTTAGGTTGTAGCTACACAGTGCCGAGCCTGTTAAAAGAAAAAATATGTTAGCTGTCAGACAGAATAAACAAGTTCTCTCACTAACTCATTTAATTTTTAAGTGCCAGAGGGCACATGTGCTCACCAGAGAGAAAGAGAAGAGAAAGCTTCCCCCAGTGGGGCATGGTCATGCCACAATCCCCTCTCTTTCATTTCTCCATCTTATTAGGGTTTTGAGGATGCACATGCATCTGGCCTATTTTTCAAGCTGCTGGTGCTGGATTTGAACTGTGGCCAGCCATGTGGAATCCGGCTCCTGTAACCACTGTACGAAGCCTGCCCTTCACTTTACATTTATCTGTTAATTTTAACTCAACAAATAAAATTTTCAAACATTACAGGATTCATAAGAATCTGATTTGATCATGATTATGACCAGCCTGCAATCATTTCAAACTGAATGTCTTCTGAAATTACTATTAGATAATGTAATTTATGAATGAATCTTAATTCCTAATATTAAAGGCAACAGCAGTAAGTACTAAACCTACCTTTACTGACTGTCTACCACAAGTCAAGTTTTATGCAAGATGACATACACGTATGCATCATTTCCTATAACTCTGTAAGGCAGGCATTATTAAGCCCCTCAAAAAGGGGACAACAAAGGCTAAGAGATAAGGTAAATAACTTGTGCAAGAACACACAGGAGGTAGTGGCACTGGGATAAAAACAGCACATGCGACTGCGTATAAAGCCCATGCTCAGCTACACATCTTGTCTCTCCGAGGCTTTCCTATGTCTCTTTCCTGAATATTTAAAATTACTGCATGCAGCACATATGCATTCTGATAACAGATTACTTTTTTTTCTGATGAAAAAGCAGAAAACACCCATAACTGTAAATAGAATAAATTGATAAAATTGGTAAATTGATTAAAGTGATTCAGTTTTCAGAAACTTAAAATAGCTCAAATTCAACTTTAGATTGGTTATGTGAAGAACCATCTTATTATTTTTTTTTCCTTTTTTGGGGGGAGAGGTTTTTGCTATAGGGTGTGTACACTTGCCAGAAAGACAGAGAGAGACAGACAGAAAGCAAGAAATCACCCGCTGGAGGATGGCCATGCTGCAATCCCTTCTCCTCTATTCTCCTCTCAGGATCTTGGGCACGCATGCACACATGCCCGGCGTGAGTTTAAGCCAGCAGGTCCAGTACTCGAACCACGGTCAACTACATGGGAGTCCAGTGACATAGCCATTATGCCAACTGCTGGTCCCAAACCACCTTATTTTGTATTACATGGTTAATGCTCATCCTAGTAGTAAAGAAAATTAAGATGGACATATTCCACAAAATCCAATATAAATCTCACTTTACTGACTTGATAATTTTATAACATAGCAACTAGAATACTAGAAGGTTTATTATAAAATATGATTAAGTGAGGAGACCCTAAGCTCCAATTATAATTTTACTGAAGCTCTACTGCACTATATCACACAAACTGTTTATACTTGATTAACTGAAGTTTTTACCGGATTACTAATTTGTTCAAATATTATATTATTAAATACAAACAGAATACTTTTGTATTTGTATTATAACGATAATTGACTTTTAAATTGTACCATCATGGAAAAAAGCTTCAAGTATGTGAAGCAAATCAGCAGACTTTGACACTGAATTAATTAGGGAGAAGGTATGTGAGCATATTGAAAAGGAACTGGAGGAGAATACAGAAAAATGAACATAGCTTGATTTGGTGGGACAACAAAATTGGGCATGAACTTATTTATATCTTGTCCTCTCAATCAAAATAATTTTTAAAAACCTCAAACCACCATTTAATTTAGCAATGCTTCTCCAAACAGGGAACAACCGCCTATATTTAAATATGCGGCCATAATATTGGGTTGTCAGAAAGTCATGCCACATTTTTGTATAGTAAAACATAGTAAAAATAAGTCATGATTTTTCTTTTCTTTTCTTTTTTTTTTTTTTTTTTTATGGAGAGGTTTTTTTGCTATAGGGCGCATGTGCTCGCCACAAAGACAGAGCGACAGAGAGACAGAAAGCGAGAAATCGCCCCCCAGGGGGGATGGCCACGCCGCAATCCCTTCTCCTCCATTCTCCTCTCAGGATCTTGGGCATGCACGCACACGTGCCTGGCGTGAGTTTAAGCCACCAGGTCTGGGACTCGAACCGTGGTCGACTATGTGGGAGTACAGCGACATAGCCATTACGCTAACTGCTGGTCCCACGTTATGATTTTTCTGACAACCCAATATCATATTTACATAAATACATGTAGCATGCATTTCATAGTAAGGTAATTTAAGTAATTTGACAATGAAAAAAAAATTTTAAATACCAATGTGACCACTATTTCTTTGAATTTCTTATTTAATTTTATTTATTATTATTTTAAAATTTGCTATAGGGCATGTGCGCTCACCAGAAAGAGACAGAGAGAGAGAGAGGGAAAGAAAGGAAGACGCCTGGTCAAGGACTTAACTGCAGGGGACATATGGGATTCCAGCACCTTAACTGCCTGCTGGCCCCAATAAAAAATATTTTTAAAGAAATTCTTGAAAATATCTTTCCACATGGTACTGTTTGTTCTTCAAGCTTTTTTAGCTTATGATATATTCAATAGAAGACTCAGTTTTAAAATTTGATTATTTCTACTTTAATAACTTTTTAAAAAGTTAAATATGAATAGTTAATATCTAAGTTTTCTAAAAGTATCTTCTTTCACGTCTCAGGATAATGCCACTAGATACTGTTTATAGAAATTCTGGAGAAAACATGTTGGCTAATGGCAAACATTTTAGATTAATCCTGAAATAGCTGGAAGTCCTAAAAATCAAATTGTTTATGAAAAAATTGCAAAGGTGTCAGTAACTGCAAAGCACCCAATGTGATCCCCAACTTCCTGATCTGAATTGTCAACTTATTTCTTTCAGAGTCCAAGATGGGATCGATTTGCACAATATAAAAGGCCCTAGCTAAGGTACTTTGTGTCAGTGCTGCCAAACACACTGCTTCATCTGAATTCAGTGAACATAATCTCCATCCCCACCCTTTCTTCATTTAAAAAAGGAGGTCAGCAGGTGCAACAAAGTTCAATTTTAAAAATACTTTCCCAGGATAATACTCAATGAAAGGATAATAGCCTTATCTGAGATGGTATTCTGGGACACAGGCCAGTACTAAATAGATCCTGTACTAAATAGATTAAAGGAAAAAGATCTTTGCAATGTGTTAGTAGTAATGATCATAAGAAACCTTACACTGCTTTCTGCTCAAAGGGTTGAGGAGGCTCAGAGAACACAAAAGCAACACAGTAATGGCAAACATCGTATATCATTTTCCTTTTCATGTTCATTAGCTAATGCATTTTTAGTGAACATTGTAAAGGTAGTATGTGTTTTATTTTTTAAAACAGTGGAAGTATGAACAACACTTAGCATAAGAGGACTGGATATAAATAGTAAGACAAAATTTCTCTTTTAATGCAAAAGCAGGTAAAAACCATACTTGATTAATGAAAAGTCAAAAACTAAAAGCAAAGGCTTATCTTTATAAAGCACACCAGAGGCAATCCATGCAACTCAGCCAATGTTATTCAAAGGCTATCAAAATGAGTGATCTTAGGAACCTAACTTGGGTATATAAACATTTATAAATGGTTGCTATAGTCCCCAGAATATTTAACTAATATTATTTTTCAAATGCCTTATAATATTCAATTATTTATTCCTTACTCAATATCAGTTATATCAACTCCATTAAAAGATACATTTCCATCACCACATTCCAACAATTACAGCTAGAAAGCAAGCTAGCTAGCTAGCTAGCTAGCTAGTTAATACTTCTAAGACCTTGCAAGCAATCACTGACATATTTGGAAATAAAATTCTTGGGCTGGTCCTATAGCCTAGTGGTTAAGGGAGCTGTCACATGGTTAACAGTGGTTTGAATCTTGGCCTTGCCTTGGCAGCTTGAAAAACATGCCAAACACATGTGCTACCCCAAATCTCGACAGGATTGAAATGGAGAACAGACTGCGGTGTGATCACTTCCCATTAGAAGGTACTTTCTCTCTCTCTCCTCTCTCTCTGTTCCTCCCTTTTCTTTCTCTGATGAGTGCAGGCACTCTCTGGCAATTAAAAAATAAAAAAAGGAAGGAAGGAAAAAATGAAGGAAGAAAATTGTTTACCTCTAAGACACACTACTTCTCTTGTGTCATTCTAATAATCATAATCAGACATGTATTCAGTAAGTTTCTGCAAAAAAACATACTCTACAGATACCTCAAAAACATGTCTGAAGAAAATTACTTTCATTACCAATTCTCTTCCTGTATATTTTCTATTCTGGTTAATACTTCCACATCCATGAAATTCACAAGATCAAATGTGTAGAGTCATCCTATATCTGTTCATTACCTACCATATTTCCATACTACTCAAGACACCAAATACTGATAATCACACCTTCCTGTGTTACCTCTAAGCTCCATGATTCCTACTGGGTCAATTAAAAATACATTTCCAAAAAGTTTCTAATCTCCATCCTATCCACAACTATCAGAATGGTCTTAAAAAGTGCAGGTTAGTGTTATTGTAGCCCAATTCTCAGGGTGATGTCTGCACTACTTGGATTCAAGGACCTCCTAAAGTAGGACTTTACCTAAAACTCCAGCCTTGTCTCAGCTAATAAACTCCTCACAGTCAATTCTTGCTATTTAATGAGATTCCAGGCTATTCCCTCTGCTGGTGGTATCATTTCCTGACTACTATCTGAGTGAGTGTTAATGTTTGAGTAGAATTTCTACAAACTATTCAAACTTGACCTCTTCAAGTCTTCTTTGACCAGTCAACAAAGCTATTTACTATTTAGCTCTACTATAAAATATAGCACATTATTTTGCATTTTTTTGTTAACAGATCATCTCTATGTTTAGAATGTGAGCTCTCTGACAACTGAAACTTTATGCCTCTGACATACCTAGAACCCCTGACTTTTGGTATCCAGAAGG